TGGAGTCTGTCGCCCAACTCTGCTTCCCTATCGTTGCTGCCGCCGGAGGTCGAAGAAAAGCTTCGCTTATGAGCACTGTATCAAAGAACAAAAGCTTGAGAAGCTGCATACACCTTGAGGTTGAAGTAAAGCTTTTAGCTTTGCTTATGAGCACCGGAGGTCGAAGAAATGCTTTTAGATGAACTCTTCTGCGATCTGCGATTTTCTAATGGCCTTCACGTGACTAGCAGCTTTATTGGAAATGAACCAAAACATTACTTCAGTTGAGACCACCTATTTACTTCCACGCCACCACAATGCCTTCAGTATATACTAGTATAGTCCCCGTGCGATGCACGGGATGGATATTGTTCAAGTTATTGTCTAATTGTGTGAATAATTGTTTACGTTATTATGCTAAATTTGCGATATGAACGAATAGTTTAAAAAATAAAAACACGTTGAAACAAAATATCATAAACATCTGTTTATTAACAATTACAAATTATTGAAGATTTCATGGTATACCACGTTGGTTGTTGATGTAGCAGTTGTCCTTGAGTCACTGGAAACCAATATTTTGAGCCCACTTGGGTTGTTAACTCGAGATGCAGCAACGTACAATTGACCATGAACAAAAACTGGTTTTTTTAGAAGCAAACCTACATGTGACAGTGTTTGTCCTTGACTTTTGTTAATAGTCATTGCATACGCTAACATTAGTGGGAATTGTCGTCGTTGAAACTTGAATGGTAATCTTGTGTCTGAGGGTGACATCGACATTCTAGGTATAAATTAGTATGCTAACATATTAAACTTTAATTAGATAAAACATTACTAAATTTTGGATCAATAATTACACTTTATCAAATTCGAAACAAATAATAAATCTATATATCTATAATTACATTCGTGAACAAAAGTACATGAAATAGTCCAGTTTATATAGATTATGTATAATGTATAAAATCATCAAAATAATATTTATAAACAGCCAACACAGTTTAACACTATATAATATAGATATTATAAATACAGAATTAAAAAAAAAAAAAAACAAACAAACAAACAAACGCAGCTCTCAGTCCTCACAGTTGGGTCTTTGTTGACCTTACCTCCACGCTCAGATGTGGTAAACACTTAGAAATGAGAATGTTCATCTCATCTCATCCGAGCGTTTATCGCACTGAGAGTAATGGTCTTTGTTGGCTTATCTGCTTCAATCCGATCCCTTGCTAAATTTATGAGATGAGAATGATACTCTCATGTCAAACCCAGCGTACGCAGTATAGCTTTGCATCTTCTCTCTACATTTCAACCTATTTCCCTAAATTATTTTGCAGATTATGCTGTATCTGCTCGTACCCACACGTCGTTCGTATGTAATATACCCAAATCAGGGTCGATTACATACGACTTCTCTACCGATTTGGAAACCCTAGACTTGGTTTGGTGTGCTCGGAGAATCAGCAGTAGCAAAATTGGAAGCAGAAATCGTATATTTGTAAGTTGTAGTTCGAAATTCAATTAAACCTTTAACATAGGATTTCTGCTAAAATTCGATTTTGTCTCACAAATTATTTTACTTAATAGACAATCTACAACCCAGAAATTTGACACTTAGAATCATGCATCTAAACCCTATAATCTAGTTTATTTTGTTCTTTAACTTCCGATCGGAACATGCAAATGAAGCGTATGTAAATTTTATTCGGTGATTTTTTTATTTTTTTTTTCAGTTTCCTAAAAATCGGAAATATTATTTTGTCTACAGGCAAGTGTTGCTAAGTGGAGCAGAGAGCTTGTGAAACAGATAAGTTTTACTAATATATTCTATTTGTAATCTCGTTATTTGATAGTGTATGTCCAGCATAAGATGTGTTTTACAATATGAGTAATTACATGCTTCTACTAACTATTTCATACTGTATGAAAAGAATTTTAAGGGGACACACCTTTTGTTTGACGACACTGTTTCCTCTTGGAGCCAATAGTGCATGATGATGTAATTTTCCTCATGTTCTGAAATAAGAATGCTTGAGATTCTGTGGTTTTGATGGGAATGCTTTACCTCCTGTATTATTTGTTAGATGAGAGTATTGTGTTCACAGCAGTTTTGTAAATCCCATTTGAAATAATTGTTTGTGTATTTATATAGGAGGTGCCCTGGTTTCTATTGAAAAAAAAAAGACATTAGTCCTTAATTATTCATGTTATCAAGCACATAGGGAAGGTAAAAGGTTTTGTCAGCTCTCTCAATTAATTTTTTGAAGCTGAAAGGTTAATGTTTTTTAATTAGAGTTTTATATATTTAGTTGGTGTGGCTGGTAACATATCAGTGAATATATATTTATTTGGTCATGTTATATTGTAAATGGACGAAACCATTATCTTCTTACTAATGTGACTTTGGTTTTGCAGTGAAGGTGTTCGGGTCATATATGTGACATCTTAGATGACCCAAGTTTAAGTTCAGTAAACATATAGACTATGCACACCAGGTTTATTACAATGTTTAAATGTAAGTGTAAAACTTTCATTCTAACTGTGAGTTTCTAACTTACTATCCATAATGTTACTTTTCGAATTTATAAGAGACATGTAGTAATCTCAGTATTTTGTTTAAAAACTTAACAAACTGACTTTTGTCATTGAACAGGTGTATCGGTCACAGGTGTGAGTTTTTAATTCCAGTAATTTTTAAGTTGGGAACAAAACGGAGTATAGAATTAGATAACAGGTAATATTAGAGTTTAGGAACAAAAAGTTGACCATTAATGTTATGTTATGATTTTGGCTCAGTTATACTTATTAAAAACTCGTTTGGCAGGGCTTTTCAACACGGGATTTTTAATGTTCTCAAACACCTGCAATTATGAAGTTTGACCTCATTAGCACTTATTCTAATTGATTTTTACAGGAGTTCTTGAACCAAACCGTTGAGCAGGTCACATTACTTGACTAATTTGACATTCACATTTATTTATGGAAGTATGTTATGAAAAATTGTCTAAATGCCTTTGTTTTACAGTGAAGGTGTTGGCGTCACAGATTTGATATCTTAGTTAAGGCACTGCTAATGTAAGTTAAAAAATGTTTATTGAATCGTGAGTTTATAGGTGTGTAGCAGTAATATTTACTAATTTTCAAGACATGTTGCACATTAAGGTGTATTCGTCAAAGGTGGCTGACCTTAAATCATTCAATTTAAAAGTGAAGTCACTGAACAGGTAATGTTAGAGATGGATTTGTAAATTTCTACAATTAATGCTATAGTATAACCTTGCCCTCAGTTATGCTTATCAAAATAGCTTTTTGCAGGACTTTTTCGAAACCAATCACAAACTAATTTTCAAATAGAGCAGGTCATGTCACTTTCCTAATTTGCAAACTGTATTTAGAAATTGACGAATTTTATGTGAACTGATCTCAAACTTAATTTTTTTTTGCAGTGAAGGTGTTGGTGTTACAGATCTCTGATCCTAGATGACACAAACCTAAACTTGGGCCCCAAGATAGTATACAGTTCATATGTTTCTACTGCTAGGTAATTAAGCTACATTTCTAAACCAAATTGTGAGTTTAGAAGTGTTTTACAGTAATGTTAGTTTACTACTTTTCAACACAGATTTTAAATGAAATCTTTAATATGTCAAATTTTTTAAGTTGAGTTTGGATTTTGCAGTGAATCTATTGGTTTATACAACCTGAAGTATTGACTGATCCTAAAGTATACTTCGTAACCAAGTGAATAAGCAGAACAACTCTAAATGTTTAGATGTGAGTTTGGACCATGTTCTTTTAAGACTCAAGTTAAAATATTTAATTTTTATCACTGACTAACCTCAATTGTGACAATTTACTTAGCAGGATGATCGAAAGTCGTGACTTTTGAAAGGATACAGACTGCAATATGTTATTCCCAGGAAAAGCAGGTAAAATTTATTTGTTATGTTATTTTGTACATACTTTACTGTGTATGTGAGACATTTTCAATTTTTTTTGTGTTGCCAAAATCTGTTATACGTGTTTCCTTGCTTTTAATAGTTAATTTTTTATTTTATTGCATGTCCAATGAAAGCTGATTTCCAATTAAAAAACATGTTGCTGCAAGAAAGTTTTTTTTTTTAGGGTAACACTTCATTGACTACTTGTGGTTAAGATACAAAACGTATAATGTTCTATATCTAAATAGAACTTATATAGATTATTCTAGATATTCTAGAATACTTCCTAACAATCTAGTAACTTGTTGTTTCAACTTCATGCACACCATATGTTCCTTGAACTTGATTCGCATGGCTATCTTCTGATGAACAACATCTTTGTGTTTGTTTTCTATATTTGAACTCCAGCTACCTGCAAAAGTATAACAACTTTGAAAAAACATTAGGATTAACTACCAATTATATTTGCTGAGATAGAAAAATTTTCCAATTAACAAACATGTGAGTTCAAATATTAAAATAGAATACTCTAGGAATAGTAGTGAAGTCCTGCAAAATATATAAAATGCAAAGAAAGTTCTCCTGGCAAAAAGAGCATCTCAAGGAGAAAATAAATACATCAATAGTTAGTGTGTCCAAAGTCTCACATCCAAGACCATACTTAGAAACATTGTCCAGATAGGGCCTACCACTTAGGCCAAAAACACTATTTACATTGTTCAAACAGTTTCAAGATTCCTTCAATTTTTCTAATTTCACAACAACTTCCTTTGATTTTTTTGAGCTTTGGGTACTTGAAAATTCATCCATCAAAGACCTTTTAACTGCTCCTGCTTCATACGCATCACCAGTGAGATTAATGGGAATAGCCTGTAGAGGACTCTCGGCTTCATTGACATTCAGTTCATCCTAAACAAACATTTAAGTTGTATATGTTAGATATAGAAATGTTGAGACCATAGTTAATAGGCATCTAACAATAGTTATGACTAATAAATACCTCATCCTCCCAAAGGTCATCTTCTATAAGCTCAAATTCCATCTTAGAGTTAAGATCTTTATCCCTTCCGAGCATCAACTGTGGGGCATGTAACTCTAACATTTCCACATCATTGATAATCCTCATCACAGAAAAGGCATTTAGGAGGTTTAGAAATTGTTCCCTTCGCACCGCAATTCTGAAAATTAGGTTTAGGCCAACCAATGCTTGAATCTCAGCAGGAACACCATCTTTTCCCTATAGTATAAAGGATATAAGTTGAATAGTGGTACATGTTCATTGAGCCAATTCAAAATAAAATAAGTTAAGAAATTAGGTTAGTGTAATGTGGTACCTGAGAATTTTTCTGTTTCAAATCCAGTGCACTCAACCCTAACAACTCAGTGCATTCCCTATCCCACATGACAAAGGGAGCATTCCCTTTGATGTCTACAACCCTTATCTTAATCCTATACCTCAAGATCCCATCTCCCCAAGTCCTATCACATTCTTTGCAATATAGGAACTCTTTTTTGGGCTCCAACTTCTTGTAGCATGATTTTGTCCGACACGATGGATAATACCACTCCCCATCGCAGTCAATAAAAACTATTCGAGCAGCTACCCAGAACTCACCAAACTGAATCATATATAAATAAATATTATTTAGCAGCAAAACTAAGATGTTAGCCATTATTACTTAATTAGATAGTGAGATAGTTTTCATACCTCCTTCTTTGCATACACTACTGTCAATGTTCTTAATTGCAAATCCTCCTTTAGGGATACAGTGTATGAACTTCCAGGGTTGAAACTGGACTGTGAAACAATACTCCTCATCGGAGTTTGTTCAAGGCACAAACTGTTGGAATAATTATATTAGACACAATCTTAGGTGATTTGATTTTTGACAGAAGTTAAAAAATAACAACCAAATATTTTTAGTAGTTAAACAGTAAATTTGTTTTACATACCTTTCTCTAAACTGCATGAACTCTGGGGTTTGTTGATTGAATAGGAGTTGTGTAACATCATATGATGAACAGATTTTTATATCACCACCTAAATATCAAAAAAAAAAAGTGTTAAAGCAAATTTAGAGAATACTTTTTAAAAAATAATAATTGAAGTCAAGAGATGAGTAGTTACTTTTCAAGCAGGTTCTAGCTCTACAGAACTGTATTAAAACCAAAAGTGGTTCTTCAGTAGCAGAATTGTAGTACACCTCCACTTTGTTTACATGGTCATCCCATACAGTACAACCCAATTGAATACCACTGTAAATACATTTAGATGTTAGGTAAGGCTGCAAACACTTTAGGAATAGGAAAATACATTTATAGATCTAGAAAATTAGACACATACTCTGAATCTTCAATTACAAAGTCGATCAACCTTGCGTTTTTGCCATTGATTACCTTTTCTTGGGGAGCATGTATCTCTACCACACGGCCAATTACATCTAACACATATTTTTACAATGGAAAGTGTAACGTTAGTAAAAGAATTAAAATTTTTTAAAAACTATACTAATAATATAACCTTACCAAATACTTGCTTCTCATCAAACAGATTGATTAGCTTTTAGTGCCTTGAAATCCATCAATCTGTACATGTGCATTGGAAAATTTGTACCCTTCAACTGTTTTACAACAGTTTGATAATTGAATTTTATCATGAATTTATGTGGGCTGGTCTTGAAAGAGTAGAAATTAGTGATGACCACAAAGTTCTTAACACCATACACTTTTCCTTCTGTAAAAGTCGACCGGAATTTCTCTACAAATTCCTTGGGTATGTGGGCATGTAAAAAAGTGCCCTGTAAGCAATTAGAACTGATGATTTTAGATTATGATGTAATAGTTAGTAATATTCAATAGTTTTCGAGATTACACAGTACATTTCAACAAAAAATTACCTGCTGATCATGGAAGACAACTTCTTTGGGTTTGAGTACGGGAGACGGCTTCCTCTCTTGGATGTCATACGCCCTCACAGTTCGCAAACGCAGGGCGTTGCGTGTATTCATTGGGGATATATCACTTGCAAGAACGTACATTGTTGGCTGCTTGTATCGACTGAAACTTGAGCTATTACGTGCAGTTGAGCGTGTGAGATCCGAAGATGAACAATGGTTTTGATCATGCTGAGACTGTTATTTAAATATCGATGGCCTGCACTTCATTGGAAGAAGCAATTCGGCGTAATGAATATGTAAACATAATTGTTTACATAAATAGCTTATCGGAATTCGCAGAGACCAACCTATTTCAAATTAGGTCTTTAGTTTGATTGGTTGAAATTGATTTTGTAAGCCAAAAATAAAAGGAAACAATTTTTTTTTTTGTAAACTCTTCGGTAACTGAACGGTCTCACCTGGATTCTTACGCATTTCAATTATTACTCTCGTATAATGGAAACGACAGCGTTTCATTTGGGCGGGAACTTTTTGACCTATGTTATTTTGCTTTAATATATATAGAGATTACATCCATATACATAACATACATTGTATATGACTATATGTACACATGCCAACTTTCCTCTCTTTTTCGTTTGTTTCTTTCTTTTGATTTTTTTTTTCTTTCTCTTTTTCTTTTGGGTTTTTTTCTTCTGTTTCGTTTTTTTTTTTTTTTTGTTTCTATCTTGCATCTTTTTGTTTGCCTTTATTTTGTTAATATAATAATAATATAATAATAATAATAACTAGTAACAATACATAATAATAATAATAGTAATAACAATAATTAATAACATTAATTATTATCGTTATTCCTCCCGACTTTCTCAAACTCGACATAACTTTAACGCGATTCAAAATGATGTACTTTCTAGATCAACGTTTTAGCGGGGTAAAGAGAGGGCTTGGTAATATCTAGCAGCAAGAACAATCATAACAATTAACCCATAAACCTTCTCGATTTAAATGAAATTTGAACACAAGAAATTCTAGACAAATTCGTGCCTTCACTACCCCTCAAAACTTGACCTTTCTAAAGTTGTATTCAAGCTTTGATGTCTTCATGAAAGTTGTAGCTCTGTAAGTTAGCTTTCCAACGATGCATAGATCACCTCAATCGGATCAACGTAGACCGGGATATGAACAAAATACTAAACATTGGTCAATTGTTGCGGGATGCATGCTTTGAAAATTTTTTTCCATTCTAAGACTCACAATACTTCCTAGACTTGACTGGTTCTCCTCCTTTCCATGTCAATAATTAACGTGTGCTTGAATAGAATCACTATCTTGGATGAAAATATAAAATTTTTGTTATGACTGAACTTAGACAATAAAATTTCTAAGCTGCCTACGTACTCCTGCAAAGGAGATCAAGTCAAACGTAGTTCAAATATATTTTTTTTAAAAGTAAAGCCGTTCACATTTTAGACTCATGCGGGCCAGGAGCGTCTTTGACTTGGGCCCACTCATAGGCAAGCGAGATGTTTTAGCAGTTTAACCACGTGCAACATTTTGGTGGATATCATTCATCAAGTAGTCTCGTTTACTTAATTAATAGGGCCAACTTGCGCATCATTTTCATCAACCAAGTTGTACATGCCCCCCCCCCCCCCCCCCCACAATCAGGATCTCGTCATGTCAATTAATGTCGTGTACTTAATTAATAGGGCCAACTTGCGCATCATTTTCATCAACCAAGTTGTACATACCCCCGCAACTGGGATCTCATCATGTCAATTAATGTGGAATGAAGACGGCACCTCATCTTGAGTTGGTGTCGCTCCAGAATCAAGGTCTTCTTCTTTTCCTTCTTGCACATGAGTGTATAACTGTATATGATGGTCTTTGGCTGGACCTTCAAGACTTTGCTGCATGAAACATGGACATCAACTTCTCGTCTCATACGAGAGGGAACTATACTTCTAAGCCTTTTTGAAGACTCTATTTCAATAGAAGTGTTGGTATGTTCTTTTAAAACTCGAGAAGCTCCAAGTCTGTCATGTATTGACTTCCTCTTAGCAGGTTTGGGATTTGACCCAAGCCTATGAAAGGTTGACCGTCGTGGTTCTACCTCGCCAATCCTATCAAAAGACTGATTGCCTCTTATGGTGCTTCTCCTCATCGGTAGAAGTGATGCAGTTACTTGCGGCTCTGTTTATGAAGATTCGCAGTGGTTTAGGGAGCCCATAGCCTAATCCTTTACGTTCATGCGGTCCCTACTGATTTGACTTGCCTTTATCGCCGGCTTCTAGGATAAGCTTCCCCAACTTCTGCGGCTCCTTGGGATTATAGCCAGCTTTAGCTAGGAGTTTAAAAGCATTGGGGTCGAAGCCATTAGTGCGCTTAACAGGCAACATTTCATCTATTCCATCCCGAGCATTGTTATCTTTGGTTTCTTCTCCAAGCGGTTTGGCTAGGGGAACTTTCAATGGTTCAATTCTTGTAAGCGGGAAAACAAGTTCCTTATTGCAATGAGCTTGGTCTACGACTTGTTTGCCTTTCCACTTTGGATCGGGAGGTGTGTCAACATCGCTTTGGTCAGCCTCCTCTACAACTTGTTTCTTCAAGTAAAATTTTGCATCTGCAAAGTACGACTCTGCTTCGATCAAGGGAGTTCCATCGGCGACTACCTTTTCTATCACATCGCCTTTTTCAAACATGAGGCATTGGTGCCAGGATGAGGGGACTACTCCATTCTCATGTATCCAAGGTCGGCCTAGCAACAAATTGTAGGACGTCCTTGCATCTATCACATAGCATAGTGTACTTGAGTTTAGTGTTCCGATCCTGAGGTCGAGTCTGATGGTACCCAGTGCTCTTTGTCCGCCTTGATTAAATCCTTGAATCATTAAGCGGCTTTGAGAGAGCTCATCGGTGGAGATGTCAAGTTCCTTCATAGCCCGGAGTGACAGAATGTTCACAGCCGACCCTTGATCAATCAAAATCATTTTAATCTTTTGCTCGCGGGCATAACCTTCAACAAACAACGGACGATTATGTGGTGTACCACCAAGCAATAGATCCTCATCTTTAAAAGTTATCTCGGCGATATAAGACGCGACTTTGTGGACTTGGACCTCGTTGCTTCCTTCAATCAAGGGGAATGAAGATTCTCACACTTCAACATGTTCTTCATTGGTATTCAAGCAAGTTCCAAGAATGTCTGTTCTACTCAGGCGAAACCCCTTTGGCATGTATTGAGCTAGGGTAACTGGTGCTCGTGGCTTGCTAGGACGTCCTTTCTTCTTCAAGTCATGGACGGGGTCCCTTACCGACTTCTTCTCAACCCATTGCTTTGTCATTTTCTTTAATTGTTTAATATGACTAACAGGATCGACTTGTGATGGTTTTAAGTACTGCACGTCAACATGCTTTACTCTAAATGGAAGTGTGCGTTTATGTTGCTTGCCCCCATTATTCTCCCCATCTTCTATAGGTAATGGAGCAAACCTCCCACATGAAACCTGGTTTGTGCTTGCGCTAGCATCCGCAAGCTCTATCTTCCCATTTCGAGCAAGCGACATGACTCTATCTTTGAAAACGAAGCACTTTTCAATTGGGTGGCCGAGGAGACGGTGATATTTGCAATAGTTGAGGTCATCCACCCTAGCAGCTTCTTCGGGCCGCTTCACCTCAGGCAATTCAATTAATTTGAGTTTCAGCAACTCGTCAAACATAGGAGAAACGTCAGAATCCAAGAATGGATATTGTTTCTCCTGCCACTCTTCAACAATTGTTTTTCTAGCTCCCCTTGATGGGCCGGGGAATGATCTCGGCTTGGGCTTCTCATCCACTTTGGTGAAAACCCGCATTGGTCCTGTCATCACGTTCATCGTCTCTTTCTTCTCTTGCTTTGGAAAGAACTTACTCCATTTGTTGACATCTTGGTTTGCAGGTGCCTTTGATGAGCTGGGTATACTCGACATGCTTAGTCCCCTATTGGCTTCAATACTCAATTCCATGTCATGAGCACGACTGGATAGTTCTTCAAATGTCCTGGGTTTGATTCCCTACAAGATGTAAGAGAGCTCAAAGTGCATGCCTTGGATGCACATTTCAATTGCAGAGCTTTGTGATATCCTCTCTTTACAGTTGAGGCACAACTCCCTCCATCTCTCGATGAAGGCGCCTGCACATTCACCCTTCCATTGGTGGGTAGTGGTGAGCTCCAAGAAGCTGACAGTCCTTCTTGTGCTGTAGAAGCGGGTCAAGAACTCGCGATCCATATCATTCCAGCTATCAATGCAACTATGCGCCAGGTCGGTGTACCAATCAAAGGCAGTGCCCTTCAGAGAGCGGACGAACTGCTTGACGAGGAGATCTCCGTATGTTCCTGCATCATTACAGGTTTCAATGAAGTAGGCGATGTACTGCCTTGGGTTGCCTTCTCCATCAAACTGCTGGAACTTGTGAGGTTGATAGCCCAACGGCATCTTCATTTCTTCAATCCTCAGAGTATATGGCTTGGTGTAAGTGTATGAAGATTGTCCTCCTCGAGCTTCCCTTTGACCGCTCCCATGATGTAGTCATTCAACTGCTCGACAGGTATCATGCCCTCAGAAATTGGAATACTTTTCTCAGCGGGTAGTGGACGAGAGATTGTCTCTTCCATTCCTGGCCTACTGTGATGACGCGGTGACTCGACATCGATCTCATTTTCTTCGATTTGAGGCTGCTTCCCGGAAGCTCGACTGCTTTCAACCTTTTCATTGAGCTCATTGATCCTCCTTTCTTGGTTATGCATGAACGTAGTTATTCCTTCGAGAGCTTTGGTGATGCTTGCTAGTTGTTCCTCCACCGAAGCTGCGTTTGTTGTCATAGCGAGCATGACTGTGTATATGTGATTCCATTCCGGTGTGGTTCTCCGCAGAAGTGATGACTGTGATGAGCTTCCACTGCTTGGGGTTTTATTCGAGGGAGTAGAGCTCGCAGGACTCTTGTTGCTAGGAGCTCCTTCACTTGTAGGATTCTTGTTGCTGGGAGTTCCTTCGCTTGAAGGATTCTTGTTGCTGGGAGCTCCTTCGCTTGAAGGATTCTTGTCGCCAACAGCTTCCATTGTAGCAGATGACCCCTTGTTACGTATAGCTCTTCGTGGCATGGTGGAGCTTCTATCAATCCTCCGAACGATGTGGCGAGCGATATCTTGGGCCCCGTGCAATTGCACTCCTAGGTTCCTCACTCGACTCCGAGTCATTGCTCCTTCCACGTTTTGGCTGTCACTGGAACCGGCCACGGATGATGCCTTGGAGCGGGTAGCTTGAGCGTAGGTCATCTTGGAGGAGAGATTTCTTGATGCCATTTTTGGATTCCTTCCGTATAGAGCCCGCGAATCAATAGTGAAGAGATGAGAGGCAGAGTTGTCCCACTGGGCGTGCCAAAATCTGTAAACACAAAAAGTAAACTTTGTATATATTCACAAAATTCCGTGTACAGCGTGTGTATAATTCAATGCAGGTACAAAATCTCTGTCTAGTCCTCTGATTCTTCACTGATGTTATCTATGGAAGTGCCTACGGGATTCAAATAGCATAGCCTCCGTGATTCAAATGGCGCGTGCCTCCGGGATTTAAGTGGCGTAGCTTCCGGAATTCAATTGGCGTGACTTCCAACAACGAGCGTCAAGAATTTAGAAGTAATCAACCCTGCAAGGGATTCAAATTGCCTCCAAAATCAACAAAAATGCCTTCAAATCTTCTAGCGTTCTTCAATGCCTTCAAGCTCTTCAAATGCTCTCAATTCCTCAAGTCTTCAAGTTCTTCAAGCTTTCAAATTCTTCAAGCTTTCAAGTGTGTTTTGGAATGAAAACGAAGGCTCTATTTATACTAGAAGCCTAACCAACATTCCTCAACAAACTCCCCCTTTATTAATTAATTATTCTAGAAAATGAACCTTGCCCAGAATCAAGTCCTGGTTCATTATTGTATAATCTAATTCAAATTCAAATTAAATTATAATTATTTAATTCAAATATAATAAAATAAATATTATATTTAAATTATAACTATAATTCAAATTCAAATATGAAATGGGTTTGGACCAATTAATTAACTAATTCAATAGCCCAAATCAAATTTAATTGGACTCATTAAATTAATTTAATTATTATGGCCCAATTAATTAAATTAGTCCAATAATCAATCTCAACGTTGGTCCAATAACAATTTTGTCGTCCATTTATCGGGTTCAAATTTTCTGTGTCTACAGCACCAAATAAAAAATAAAAAAATGAAAGGTTAAAATGCGATATAAATCATCTCGGATAATTAATTATGCGGGAGACAGTTTTCATTCGTTATTATAGATTATCATACTTTAGGACCAAAGACACGACTTGGGACTTGGGTCAAGTGGTCAACCAAAGATTTCACCAGGCCAGTTAGTTTTTTTATATAGGTCATCCTCTTTTTCATATTGCTTTAACAATTTTAAAATGTTGCACTCCTTCATACTCATCCTTAATTACATTGCTTTGATTGCTGTAGTTTCTCATGCAAAAGACACGCTATTATCCGATGAGGTCCTCAGTAGCGACGGGCGACATGGGACCCTCACATTCTTGGAATCCCAGAATAAGCTCTTCCGTTTACAGTTCCTCAGACGACAGGGAACCCAAAATTACCTGTATTTGGGCATTCAGTACATGTATAGTGCCAACGCTGAAACCACCATTTGGGTCTCTAATGCCAATGACATATTTTCCGGCAGCCTTTTCTTGAAAATGAAAGGGAATGGGCGGCTGATAGTCGGAGACGGATCGAGCCACAACTCCTTTGTGGTGAACAATAGGCTGAGTTCGGTGTTTAACACGAGTGCAACTCTGCGAGACGACGGGAATTTAGTCCTGACGGCATCGGCAAACGGAAGCCGCCATCTTTGTTGGCAGAGCTTTGATCATCCCGGCAACGTTTTCTTCCCCGGGATGAAGCTTGGGCTGTCAGGCACTGATACACAAACGCCGTCTAATCGCGCCCTCACGTCGTGGATAAGCGACGGAAATCCTTCTCCGGGGGGGTTTGAGTTGGGGATGAATCCAAACCAGACAAACGAGTTGATTATCAAGCGAAGAGGGGTTGTTTATTGGAGAAGTGGGGAGTGGAAGCGCCAAAATTTCACTTTTCTTGATTTCCCGGCGGGTTCCGGTGCCAACATGACCAATTACTCCAGTGCCAAAAAGGCCTATTTTAGCCTTTCCGGTGGCTCTCAGGTGGGAAATGGATACAGTTTCATTCGACTAAACTCCCGTGGAGGAATCGACGCGTTCATCTGGAACGCGACGACTAAAACTGTTGAGCCACTGGTGGTGGTCGTGTGTGACCCTGATGAAGCGCTCCGCCGTAGAGTTGCCCTGTCCGGCGGCTGCTCTGCGCTGCAAACGTATGGCTGCGGCGGCGGAGAACGGTTCAATCAGACTACAGGATCCATCCCAGAAGCTCTGTGGCACTATTTGTACGACCCCAGCAAAGGCCTCAGTGATTGCCAGCAGATTTGCCGGGAAAATTGCTCCTGCTATGCCTACACTACGGCCTTACCTAATGGAACTGCCTGCAAATTTTCTTCTTCTCGCGTGTACCGCCGCACAAGTAAAGGAGAAATATTTTACTTTCGAATTGCTAGTAGTAAGAAGGGTGAGTTTTCTACCTTTAGCTGTAAACTTCCAGTAAACTTTCAAATTGTTACCATGGTCAAGTTATTTATGATTTTTAACCACTCATGATTCTTATCACTATTGAAAGTTAAAAGACCATGTGTAGTTAATTTGAATCACGGATGGTAACAATTTGAAATTTAAAAGGCTATAGGTGGTCAATTTAAAAATTTAGAATTAAACACGACAAAACTATTATAAGGCATATTCCATTAACTCTTTTTTCATCAAAGTTTGTTTAGAAAACAATTCGGAAGGGTCAAATCTAACAATAGGTGACTAGAGAATTGTTGGTATAAGGGCTAAGTTTATAGGGTTATAACTTTTAGCTAGTGGTAAGCAGTTGATCCTAACGAGAGTAATTTTCACATATTGTAGCACCCCCTCCTGCTTCTGCCCCTGCTCCGGCTATAGCTCCGGCAACTCCTGCCGAGCGGACTTGGAATTGGAGGAAGCACTTGGCGAGGTGGAAGCTTGCAGCAATAGTGAGCTTGGTGGTTGCAATTGTGATTGCCCTCTCAGCCGTCTCCATATTCAACCGTTTCAAAAAGAGAAGGGGCTATCGAAGAGGTACCTAATAATTTCTTGTTACTTTGAATGCATGTACAATTTTGAATTTCCTTATATTATTTTTGGAAAAAGATATTTGGGCAATGTATAATTCACAAATATGGATGTGGGTTCTTTTTTTGTACACCTTGAGGAAAAAAAATCATATCTATATATAATATATAACTTAAAATTATAAATTGATGTCACCCAACAACAAAATCTTGTAAATTTTAGATGCTATATAAATTAGAATGTCATAGTGGATATACGACTAATTATCAATACTATTACATGTTTTTCAGCTCAGAGTAAATTAACAGCAAAACAAGATTCAAAAATCACTGAGAAAGGAGATAACGAGTTACGGTTGTATAATTTAGCGACTATCAAAATTGCAACAGACTATTTTTCGAGAGGAAATATGCTTGGTCGAGGAGGTTTTGGAGTTGTATATTTGGTACATCTCTTTCCACTTAATACCTTGTACTTTCTTAAATATAGTTAAAAAGTATACTCATATCAATTTGGAGTGGCTAAGGAGGCCTCAATTGAGTTGGATAAGGAGACTTCATAATTTGGCTATATGAGTTGGTTTTTGCTATGAATAATTTTATTATACTCATGCCCTATCACATGATTATAGATGGATAAACGTTTATTTTGTCTAACTAGAATTTTTGATTAGGGTAAATTGGCAAATGGAGAAGAAATTGCAGTAAAAAGGCTATCAAAATTGTCTGGGCTTGGAGTTGAGCAATTCCATAATGAAGTTGTCTTGATATCAAAATTACAACATCGGAACCTAGTTAAGATATTGGGTTGTTGTATGGAAGAAAATGAGTGCATATTAATATATGAGTACTTGCCAAATAAGAGCTTGGATTCAATACTTTTTGGTACGTCAACATACTTTTCTTACCTTTATTTTTTACTTTTCCTCATCTAGTTAGAAAATTTTGTCTCTGCTCGCAAGAGTTTAGCTCAATGGTTCGGTGGACAGTATTTAGGAGAAGAGACTAAGGTTCGAACCTTAGCGGCGGCAGTGTAGAGATTATGCTCAAAGTGGGCATGCAAATCTCTTGTACGCACCAGCATTTGGCCCTATTTGTTGAACCATTGAGCCATCGTGATTTACATCCTCTCAAATGCTCTGGCTGGGATGTGGAGAGCCCTTTGGATTTTACAATTACTTATAATGATTTGTGACTTGTGAGATATCTAATAATCTAATATATATTTCAAACAGATCCAACAATACGAGCATTGCTTTGCTGGAAAACACGTATTAACATCATCCAAGGAGTTGCGCAAGGACTTTTATATCTCCATACCTATTCTAGGTTAAGAGTCATACATTGAGATTTAAAAGTAAGCAACATTTTATTAGATAAAGACATGAACCCAAAGATTTCTGACTTTGGCATTGCCAAAATCTTTGGAGATGACGAAACTCGGGCAATAACCCAAAGAATTATTGGGATATAGTAAGTTATTTGTTTGTTTTTTCCCTTGTTTCATAGTCACAGAATATATGCTGAATTGGATGCATTCTAATGTACTTCTTCTATGCCTATGTTTGTTTTGAAATAGCGGTTACATGTCTCCTGAGTATGCGATGGACGGACTTTTCTCTGTAAAATCTGATGTTTTTAGTTTTGGAATCATGACCCTTGAAATTATAAGTGGAAAAAAAAATGTTGGGTTCTATAATCCAAATCGCGTTTCAAACTTAATTGGACAGGTGAGTACCCATGATTAACCAATTATTTTCTCTCATATCTCTTTCATCTTTTGTTCTTTGTTCTCTGTTACCACTTTAATTGAAGTGATTGCACTGAAGACAATTTACTAACAAACTTTAGGCATGGCAACTGTGGTGCGAGGGGAAAGCTATTGAATTGGTAGATTTCACAATACGCGAAACAGTTTTAGAAGATGAAGCCACGAGGTATACGCAACTAGGTTTGTTACGTGTTCAAGAAATTCCGAAAGATAGACCAGACATGTCAGATGTGATATCTATGATTATGCAAGAATCAACAGATCTTCCTACTCCCCGACAACCAGCTTTCTCTGCTGTCATGGGTCTTAATAAATCGAACAGTGATTGTTCAACAAGTACAAAACCTAGTTGTAGTAGCAATGAGGTGACTATTTCTAGAGTAGAAGGTCGATGAACATACGAAATTTGTGACCTTCAAACTTAAACTCCTCATACTTGAACTAACGTCTTTTAGACTTTTGGTGATAGAAAGTAATATTTGAAAATCCATGTACCTATGGTGTATTTTCCAAAATAATACAGTAATTTGCTTCTCTACAAGAAAAAACTAGTATCCAATTGTTGATACAAAATGAGCATTTGCCAATCATTATAATGGGGGCAGATCAGATATTGAGAAAAAGGGTTTCATCCATCTTTTACTTGAATGCCTATTATCCCTTGGGGATGTATATTGAAATGAGAAACAGACTGAAAACAGGACTATCTCAGAATCTCAGAATCATACCAAAAGGTGAGGTGGATTTGCTTCATCAATCCAATCACCATAAATTCCACTGATTTTCTTTGTCAACTTCCATAAATGAAACTTCTTGGCCCCTTGCTCATCTTTCCAAGCCACTTGATTAGCACGAAATGAATCGCCGCCTGCTGCAGCAATAGAGAGAGGCTCGATCGGAACGGGGGGAAAGTTTGTCGCTTCCCCAGTGTCACTTCTGCCACTGAATGCCTGCAACTCTGTCAACACATATATTCAAGCATCGCATCAGACTTTTAGAGCCTAGGAACATCCAAATACCACTTAACATTGCGACAAGAAAACATCAGTTTACTTTGAAGGACAAAGAACATAGATTTGGTGAAAGAACTAGAAAGCCAACATCAATAAAGCATTCAACAATGTTAATGATTTGTAACGCAAATGATTGCAAGGGTTAGAAATCATTCTCGTTTCAATGCACATATTCTTGTTTCACTCTTATCCCACAATTACCTTCTGTTTTCTTCATGGTTGAAAAAATCGCTAGGCGCTCATCGGGCGCTCGGGAAGCGCCTAGCGCCTAGGGCGCCTAGGCGGGGATTAATCGGTGCCTAGGCGCCCGTGAATATTTTATTTTTAAAATTTTTTTTTTAATTTTTTAAAACTTGATAATTATAAACTATTTAATACTTTAATAGTTAATACTAAAATATTAAATATTAACTTAAAAAACATCTAGAGTTTGAACAATTTAGGGTTATTTCGTTCAAAACGATGTCGTTTTGAGTGAAATAACTCATTTAAAAAAGAATGGAACAATAGTTAATCGGCCGACTAGACGACCTAGTCGGCGCCTAGGCGGCCTAGTCGATGCCTAGGAGGCCTAGGCGGTCAGCGCCTAGGCGGCTTAGACGGTACTTAGGCGGCCTAGTCGGCCGCCTAGCCAGTCAGTCGCCTAGACCATCGATTATGGTGATACGCTAGGCGGTCGGCCAGCGCCTAGCGCCTAGGTGCCGATTAATCGGTGCCTAGGCGGATTTTTGCAACATTGGTTTTCTTCATATCAAACATGAAATGGATTTTGTCTATTACTGACAAATAATGACAATTGATCTGAAATAAGCAATAAGGAAGGGATAATCTTGCTGGACAGATTAATGATAATAACCAGCGATTCCGAAGTAATTATACAGACATCGTTTGCTTACCTGATTGTCCATGAGCATAGTGGCATCTCTCTCCAAAGGGACATTGGCCCATGATCTCATATTTGCTACATAGCCTTTTTTTCCAAAACGCAAGTTTAGGTCGATGAATGTCTGGATCAGCACTTGCATGCTTGTGACTCTCAAGCTGATCAGAATCACTTCGCCTTGCCGTGATACAATTTGTAGTTCCTATGGTTATTGCATTACTTTCCATACGATCTTTCACCATATCACTCCTAAATTTTGGTGGGCGTTCGTGAAGAAAATTACAGTTTTCTCCGTATGGACACTCCTCACCATTGTAAAACTTCTTGCAAATTTTCACCCTCGGTATTATCTTCTGATCATCATTCCAACTACCTGCAACTCTGTCCTTTTCACGGACAAGATCCTGCCAATTGGGAGGAGGCTCTCGCAGATCATCAGCACCATGAGCAAATGTGCAATGCTCACCATTCCTACACTTCCCTTCCAAAAACTTTGCACACACGCGTGTCTTATAAAATATATGGCCAGTTCCTTTTCCCGGAATATTTGGTAAATTAACCCTCGGATTCATAGGTGGGAAAGAGGCTGAACTCAGTTGGTTGTTTTCTGAATTCCTCCGTCTTTTAAATGGCGGTGCATGATCAAATTGAGGATTCAACTCAGATTGTTCTTGGTTCAGTAGTATTGGTGGAGGAGGATCAGGAAAGCTCATTCTCTTCTTCCTGATGAAGTATTAAGTAAAGGTTGAATTTTTGACATGTAAACCAAAAAAAAAAAATCTCTAACAAGAGTAATTCATAACAAATACTAATCCATTCAAAACAATGACTATAAACAATAATCAATATCACTAAATTAAGCTTATAACAAAGCCAGACTAATACAATACTTAACAATGAAGAACCAACAATTTTCATAAATTAAAATTTCACAAATCAAAAGACTCTAAAAAAGAAAAAACATATAAAGATAAATGATCAATGAAGAACAACCAGAAGATTAATTTCAAAAGGGAAAAGAACTAAAAATCTAGCCAAAGCCAGACTTTCTTGAGAATGACAATGCTTAAAATATATTTTTTCATTGGCATTTCAATGAAGAAAAACAAAATCACATTAAGAATAAACGATCAATCGGGAATCACCAGCTGACTAATTCTGAAAAAATCAAAATTCCCATATCAAAATTGGCGGCTAAAACAAAATGAGAGCACAGAAACCCAAGCAATGCAGGACAAGCAAACCTGAAAACTATGTCGTTTTGATCAGTTTCAAGAACGCCTAGATGAAAGCCTCCGCTAAAACTTAATTCTTTTGGAAGAAAACATCAAACCTCCAGATTGAAATTTGAATAAAAATGACTGATCAGAGTTCTGAACTTTGTGCCGATGTTAATATTTATACGTACGTGTGTATATTTGTCCTTGAATATCAGTAAATCCTTTTTCTTTTAAAAGGTTGGACTTCTAATTTTCTTTTATCTTTTATTACATAAACGTTAAAAATGAAGATAAATGGAAGCCCTAGCGGCAGCTTAATCGACGATTAAAAACCAAAATAGATTTTATCCAGAAACCCTAAAACCCCAGAAACGGCTAAACCCCAAAACAGTTTCCAAAATCTTTATTATATGGAAAATTAATAATTATAGGATTATCTTACAAATCTTTTCTGTACGTTTCTTTTTTATTTTGTTGTGGGACCTCAACCTTCATAGCTAATATCGACCACTTTAGGCTATTTTATCTCTATAATACTTTCTCATTTAGAAATAGAGTTCTATTACATCAACTTTCAAATTTTACTCTCTAAATTTTACCAATCATTGTACCATGGATGAGGTTCTATAGTGCACTGTAGACCTTGGTCCTAAACGGCGTAATTTTGAATTTTAATTTTGACGGAGATCGTTTATTGTTCAATTCACGTTACAGTTTTTTTTTTTTTTACGGTAAAGTATGTGTACGTGTCTCGTGTTATGCATTTCTATGTCTCATGTTATGCAATTCTGTACATTAAACGTATTGATTCTGTACTTGAAATAAAGTGAATATAACATGCACTTTTGTGTCAGTCTAAGGCGTTTTTGTGTCTTATGTTATTAAATTTTGTACCTTAAGAATATTGATTTTGTACCTGAACTAAAGTAATTATAAAACATGTGTATGTGTCTTGTATTACGCGTCTATGCGTTTCATATATGCAATTCTGTACCTTAAGCGTATGGATTGTGTACCTGAGATAGATTAGTAGTTGTGTAACACTAATTTTACGAATTTATATCTTACGGAGTATATTATGAAATTATGTGTCTAAATGACATATGTTATCTACATAAATTAGATTTCAGAATAAGTAAATATATAACATGTGTATGTGTCTTGTGTTGTGAGTTTTTGTGTTTCGTGTTATGAAATTCTATATCTTAAGAGTATTGATTATGTATCTAGAATAAATTAAAATTTGTGTTAAAACATGAGAAACGAGAAACTATAAAATCTGTTAAAGCTTAAATATCAAAACGACATCGTTTTTGATGGGTTATGGACGAAGCGTTATGCCATGGAACCGTGTTCACCATTCATGGTGAACACGGTTCCAACGGTGTTAGTACACCGTTATCTTTTTTTTTTTTTTTTCTTTCTTAATTAATTGCGTGACTTTTCTTCTTCATTTTCACATTTTGCGGTTTCACTTTAATTTGAGTTGAACAATGATTTCGGACATTCATAAATTAAGAATTCATGCCTGCACATTCACTTTGGAACCATGCCTACACATTTCCGTCCGAAATCACGGACATTCATAAATTATGAATCCATGCCTGCACATTCACTTTGGAACGATGCCTACACATTCACTTTGGAACCATGAGATTATGAATTTTCTGTTATAAGATTATGAATTTTCAGTTATGAGATTATGAATTTTCTGTTATGCGATTATGAATTTTCTGTTATGCGATTATGAATTTTCTGTTATAAGATTATGAATTTTATGAAAATTCATAATCTCATAACAGAAAATTCATAATTTGATCAACTCGCGCCGTTAACTCCACATCCGCAAATTTTTTTTTTTTTGCCTAAAAACGACGTCGTTTGGCCTTGTGTTCACCATTCTCGGTGAACACGTTTCCAGGGCATAATTTGCCGTTATGGACCCAATGGACTAAGGCCCAAGAAGAATAATCAAACAAGAAGGCCTGGCCCAGATGATTGGGCCAAAAGGGTGATGTATATTAACGGACGGAGGCCTAACCAACCAATAGTTATGTTGTGCAACCGTGTGCACCATGCATGGTGCACACGGTTGCAAAACGACGTCGTTTTGACTAAAAACGCGCGTCCCATTTAAAAAAAAAAATCAATTTCGATTCCCCTCAACAGCATTATGTTGTTCATTCATTGTGGATTTTTAGTTCATTCATTGGGGATATTTAGTTCATTCATTGTAGATATTTAGTTCATTCATTCTGGATTTTTAGTTATTCATTCACTGTGGATATTTAATTCATTCATTGTGGATATTTAGTTCATTCATTATGGATATTTAGTTCATTCTTTGTGGATATATAATTCAAATTATGCACACAAAAATGCTATTGTCCGGAATCGAACCTGATTTTTTTTTTTTAAGTGGGACGCGCGTTTTAGGTCAAAACGACGTCGTTTTTGCAACCGTGTGCACCAGACATGGTGCACACGGTTGCACGACATAATTTGCGCTGACCAGCGAAGTGGGCTGGCCGAGCCCAGGACTCAGTTTAAGTAATGGCTGAGTCCTAGGCAGTCGGCCCTCGCGAGGAGTTGGCCTTCGACAGTGCCGTTGGGCCATAAATGCAGAAGATGACCGTTCCACCAAAGAGATATAACAGTCGAGCAACGACTCTTAGCCATAATTGTTATTCATTGTAAGCCTTAATCAAGGCATTTAAATCTCTTCCTTTAAAACTCCAACTTCCCCTTGTATAAATAGGTGAGGAGGAAATCGGAAAAGGGGGGACATTGGATCTACTGCAAATATAGCACAATATTAGCAAAATACATATCAAACTTCTTGTTTATTTTCCAGTTTTTTTTTATTTATTCTTCCGGTGAATCCACCAACTCTTTAGTTGTGTTGGACCTTCGTGGGCTGTCAAAAGTCCTAAAACCAACACTGGCGCCGTCTTTGGAGATCGTGGCAAAAGGTCGCGTTTATATCTTTGATTGAGCAATTCGGAAGATCCATTAGTTTGCTAGATTTCGCTAGAAGAAAAGTTTGAAAAATGACGGGAGAACCAAGACATACCTCTAGGGACAGCTAGGCTGGAAGGGACCTACGTGAAGGGTTAAGCCGCCCAAATTCGCGAGAGCAAGGGAGAAGCCCTCCGCCACCAGAGGAACGCCCACCGCCGCCGGCAGCGATACTCGCTCAAGCGCCGCTGATTCCACTCACCCCGACCTTGATTGAGGCAATCGCCCAGGCTGTGGACGTAGCTCGTGGGCAGGCGGCTCCGTCGCCTCCCTAAACACCCCTTGCACTGCCGAATCACCGCAGCCGACCCGTGGGACAGGGAGATCAGAATGATAGAGGTCAAGATGACAGGAAGAGCCAGTAGGCCCAGTCTGTGTACTCGTGACTAGGCCCCGAAGCCACTCGACGATCTGCCCGGGGAATGCTGGGTGAACGGGTCTCCCTCCAAGTCTCGCCAATCCGGCAGACCGAGGAAGTTGCTGGAGAGGCCGTGTTCGCCCCTCTGACCAAATCACAAAGTCGGCGAAGACGAAGAAAGGAAGCTGCAACGAAAAGGAGAATCTCCTTTGAAGGAGAAGAAAGTACCGAGTCTACGGGCAATCGGTCGCCGACTCCAGTGAAGTAGCGAACTTGGCACGAGATGTCCGAGACCTGAAGGATTGGTTGGGGAAAAAGTCCAAATCACCCGGCTAGGTTCTACTCACTGCGCTGTCTTTCTCAGCCAAGATAATGGCTTATAAGATACCCGGGGATTTCAAATTCTCGGAGCAGGCCACCTTCGATGGGACCGGAGACCCCCGAGAGTACCTCATGACCTACCAAGCGAAGATGCAGGTCTTGGGAGTTAAGGATCCACTCATTGGCCACGCTTTCTTGCCGACATTGAAAGGATCGGCACAGAGATGATTGGTATCCTTACCACCTCACTCAGTCAATAGTTTCGAAGAGCTGGCCGACTGATTCATGAGCCACTATGCAGCCAATATCCAACCTCAACGAGACCTGACGCATCTCTCGGACATTCACCAAGAGGAGGGCGAGTCGTTAAAAGCATATTTGGCAAGGTGGCAGGCTGAAGTGCAATCAATAGAGGGAATAGAGGACCGGACCGCTTTGACCTTCTTCATCGAGTCATTGCATTCTGGAAGGTTGTACACCGACCTCCGTGACAATCGACCCAAGACTTATGCCGACGCCGTGCACTTGGCAAACAAGAGGGCCAATACAGTTGAGGCAGTTAAATATAAAAGGCAACATGAGATGGGAGGAGCCTCTGGGGCCAAGCGAGCGAAAAGCGAAGGGAAAGAAAGACATCAGAGCGAGTGACCCTACCGAGTCGAGGGAAGGCGGGCTTCCGACCAGACGGGCGCCCCCAGTTATCAACCGACCTACGCGCAACTTGTGCAAGCCGTCCTCGCAAGCGACCGTTGCGGCTGCTCTCGTCATCGCCATGGATATCAGTGGAACAGTAGTTCGGCGAATCCTCGTCGACACGGGCAGTAGCGTTAACATTTTATACACGGAGACCTTCAACAAGCTAGGGTTGGCTCGCAAAAAGTTGACCCCGATAAGGACGCCACTCGCAGGATTCACGGGAGACTCCATAGAGGCCGAAGGTTCAATCACTCTGCCTGTAGAAGTGGGAACTTATCCCAACATCCGAAAGTTGGACATGATGTTTGTGGCCGTAAACCTAACCTGCTCCCACAACATGATTTTGGGACAACGCGGGCTGGAAGACTTGGGAGCACTCATCTCTATCGAACATCTGTGTCTAAAATTCCGCACGCCGACTGGAATAGGTGCTGCACGGTGCAACCAAAGGGCGACACGAGACTGCTATCTCCAGGCTTGCTAACAAATCGACCGACAAGAGATGAGAACCCACGAGATTACAGAGCAAAATTAGAAGGAAATCGTGCCGGAACGGCCCGAGCCCACCATGGAACTGGAGGAAGTCGAGATCGACCCTACACGCCCCGAAAGGCGAGTGTGAATTGGAGTCGGTCTGACCCCAGAGGTCTGGCGGGAAGTAATCCGAGTTCTCAAGGAAAACCGATTGGTCTTCGCTTGGAGCCCCGAGGATATGCCTGGTGTAGACTGTTCTATCATCTCACACAAACTCGCGGTGGATCCGAGTTGCAAGCTCGTGATCTAGAAAAAAGAGATACTTGGCCAACGATCGACGAGAGGTCGTCAAAAGGGAGGTGGAGACACTTGTGGCCTACATCCGGGAAGTAAAATACCCGGACTGGTTGGTTAACGTGGTCCTAGTGACCAAACCACCTGCTTGGAGAATGTGTGTCGATTACATGGATCTCAATAAGGCTTGTCCTAAGGATCCTTTCTCCTTGCCAAGAATTGATCAGCTGGTAAATGGAACAGCTGGGTCGGCACTGTTGAGTTTTATGGATGCTTTCCGGGGATATCATCAAATTTACATGCACCCCGCGGACGTAGAGAAGACTGCCTTCATTACTCCTGATGGGGTATATTGTTATTAGGTTATGCCTTTTGGGCTTAAGAACGCAGGAGCGACTTACACTCGGATGGTATCAAAATTATTTCACAAGCTGTTGGGAAAGACCATGGTAGCCTATGTGGATGACATGCTAGTCAAAAGCAAAGAGGACTCAGATCATGCCCAAAGCTTGGCCGAGTGCTTCGCAGTCATGTTGAAATACAATCTCAGGCTAAATCCTAAGAAATGTGCATTCGTTGTGCAAGGAGGAAAATTCCTGGGATATATGGTCACTAAAAGAAGAATTGAGCCTAATCCAAAGAAGGTCAAAGCTATCCTAAATATGCAGCCGCCCGGGTCACTGAGGGACATGCAGAGATTGACAGGTCGGTTGGCAGCTCTAAATCGATTTTTGTCCAAATTAGCTGATAAAGCACTCCATTTCTTTGAAGCTAAGAAGAAGAGAGAAGGGTTCGACTCATCAGACGAGTGTCAACAATCTTTAGAAGAGTTGAAAAGGTACTTGCTCGCTTCGCCTTTGCTCTCTACCCCACGAGAAGGAGAGCCTCTTTATTTGTATCTGGCCGCCTCCCAAAGGGCGGTTAGTTCGGTACTCGTACGAGAGGAAAATCAGGCCCAGCACCAGTCTACTTTGTGAGCCGTGCCCTTAAAGCATCCGAAATAAGTTACACCCCTTTGGAGAAGGTCATATACGCGTTGGTGGTTACGGCATGCCAATTGGTACCCTACTTCCAGGCTCATGCCATCCGGGTTCTCACGGATCAACCTTTGGGAGGGATACTAAGAAACCCGGCATCTTTGGGTAGATTGGTAAAGTGGGCTGATAAGAGTCAAATGATGCTAGTTTTTTAAAGCACTTTGAGGGAGTTTTTTACATGTTTTAGCCTTAAAGTCGTGTGTTTTATAGCAAATTATCTTAAAAACGCGATTTAGCACAGAGATATCTTCCTAATCATACTTTTTGTGTTTTTAGGAATTTTTGGACAAGAAAAGTGAAAAGGGAAGATCAAAAACGCAAAATATGGGAAGGCACACGGCAAGGCATAAGTCACGCCCGTGTCACGGCGTGACGGAAACATGAGGCACGAGAGAGTCGTCACACAGCAGCTACGCGTAAAGGCGGAGGAAAGGGGAATTATTCCCATTTACAACACCTTCACGGCGTAAGAGGTTGCGTGACAAGGCAGGGCAAAGACGCGCGCGGATGAGGGAAATTATTTCCCACTTACACACCACCTTCACGGTGTAAGGAGCAACGTGACCAGGCAGCAGAGCGGACGACGCGCGAAGCAATTAATCCACATTTACGCACGCGTCACGCCGTGACGGGTAGCGTAAATGGGGAGCCAAACTTGTCAAAAAGGGAGAGGCGAGAAAGGCTGAGGAGATATTTTTGGAAAATTCCACATTCCATTTTTTTTTTACACTTTCTCAATTCTAGAGAGAGAAACATTCATAGTTAACTAGGGTTCTTAGATCTAAAGAAGATTTGTGAAGATCTACACATCATCTTGAAGGAAATTGATGCAATTGGAGAATCTTGTGTTGGTACAATCCTTTCTCGATCATTTGATTGCTATAATTGTGCTTATATTCATGGGTTGTTCTAGCTTAAACACGGCTAGAGAAAGAGAAAGTAGGGGAGGCCATCCAAGGAGAGTAGCAGCTAAGAATGAGCACATAGTGGTGCGTGGAACAAACAAAGGGAACATCATCACTAAAACTGTGGTACACCACAGTGATATAAACCAAGAGTTGCCACCTTTGCGGATTCTGGAATCACAGGCACATAACGATCCACCAGATTTAGGAGGTCCCAGTCAAACTGCGATACCTCTACCAAATGATGCAATGGAGGTTGATGGTAATCAAGCCAATGTTCAGACTTGGAGGCCGGCTGCCATGAAATGCACTGTTTTGAACTGCCAAGGGTGTGGAGGGATTATTAGAGACGAGACTGGGAAGTGGCTACATGGCTTCACCCATGGCATTGGCTCTTGCCCAGCAATAGGAGCTGAGGCGTGGGCACTGCTCAAAGGAATCTAGCTGGCTCACCACCTTTGACTCAATAATGTGATCTTTGTAAGCGACTTGAAAGATTTAGTCGAGGGTGTTCTAAATGGTAAAATCCTGAGAAATTTGGCAGACATTATCATCTCAGCCTGTACCCTTTTTCTCTGAGGTGAGGTTTTCTAAACAAGTAGTTATTGATGTTTTTGGAGTCCCATTATGGTGTCATCTGATGTAATAGCTTATATAGCCTGTATACTTAGGTATCCCATTCCTTTAAGATCTAAAAAAAAAATATGAACAAAAAAATCAAAACAAAAATCTAAAGGTATTAATCCAAACTTAAAAATTAGATTACCAATAAGATACAATGATACTCCGTTTTAATTAGTGAATGAGAATTTTAATTGAAGGAGTAATCAAATGCCATAGTTGTGTTTTAAAAAGTTGTCAACCAAACACTAACTCACTTGGAACTGCTAGTAGCCTACTCAACAATCTCAGGGTTTCAGAATACAAATAAACTGGCAACCGAAAACACTGCTGATGTTATCAATATCGAGACTAGGTTGACAGCATTGTTGTCCAGAACACTAAGACCTGATATTTTCTTCACAGTTGGTCCTGGTTTGCTAACAACCTGCAAACATTACATACAACTCCAATTAACTTCAAATTTCATCTTATTATCCAAAAATTTACTCATGTTTGTTATGGGCTATGGTTTCCTTGATCTGTCCTTCCTCTCTACTGTACTCTACTCTACTCTACTATTTATATCGCCTTTCCCATTATACACTACACTGAATTAACTTGCAACAGATGGCTTCTGAATTAACTTGCTTTCATCTAAACTACTTTTACTTTTTTTTGGTATAGAGCAGTTAACGTAATAATACTGTAATAATGACAGTTCTACAAATAGATCTAGTTAGTTCAGTATCAAGGTGAGACAAAAGTTTACCTTATTGCGAATGGTGCAGAATCCACTGAACTGCAAAGTCGCTCCCAATAAAGAATCTACAAGACTTCCGAAGACTCCAGCCAGAGCAGATAGAGGTATAACTAATAGCTGTTTCAGAGCCACGCTGTAGGAGCATTTTGTTGTGAGAAATCCTAGGAGAACAAATGTTACTCCAATGACACTCCCTGCTGCTGCAGCTGCTAGAAGTCCTGCTCTTGTCACTCCGCCATTTGTGCCCCTCTTTACAGGCTGATCGTGGTAAAGAAGTAAGCAAGGATTCACCAAATCCAATAATGTAAAAGATGTGAATAGTTTATGCTCAAACAGAGTTGAAGAAGTAACAAAATACTGTGAATTTCCCAACAACCGTCCGCCTCAATTATTTTTCATAAAAGTTATGTAAAATAATCTCAAACAATTGTTCTAAAGTTTATATAGATAATGAAGAATTTGTACGAAATCCATCCTACAAAAGCTTGCACTCCACCACTCAATGTTCCGAAATAATACAATTCACATAATTTGTTGAGAGCTTCCTCTCCGAGTAAGTTGAAGCTTTTCATCAGTTATACTCAAACTTAGACCGCACACTGGTTTAACAGGCTAGTTCAATATACAAATACCAAAAGGGACTCATCAAATCAATTGCACAAACAGCAGATCAAAATAACATTGTACACTCCTTTAACTGGTGGAAGAAAGATGTGCCTCCTACCAATAACAGATCATAGTGGACGAACCATGAAAAATTAGAGATGATATCAAAGCATGATTATTTACCTTGAATGTTGTAATCAGTCGAGGTTGCTCGTCGCTTAGAATCCCAAGTTCTGAAGACCATGTGTCTCCATTGCAGCAGCAATAGTGACCAATAATACCTCCAATTAAAGAAGTGACAAGATATGAGTCATTTGAGTCGAGGCACTTGTCCTGCGAACCAATCAACTTCCATGAAATCAACACGAAGACGGTTGCAATGCCACTGTTGAACAGAACTTGAATCCTGTAACAGTAAATGGTTGTGAATAATCACAATTAAAATTAAAGGAACCGGAACATACAAATAAGTGAATAACTGAAACCCAAACTCACACCAATCAATTGAAGGATTTGTTCCTTCTCAACTAGAATCCATAAATTGATCATTTTACTACATATTTATATTTTAAATGCTCAACACATTATTTATTTAGGAAGTCAATGCATTTAAATTTGAAAAATACATAAAAATGAAAAATAAACCGCGAGAAAGGAGAAGATTAGGCTAGTACCAATTGCGCTGACCGCCCTCCTTAAATTCAGCATCGAGTTTTCGCTTTTTATCCTCTCCGAATCTCGTTAGCTTCGATGAAGTGAAGAAGAACATAAGCAGCATCGCTCCAAACCTTAATTTAAGGGCTAATCAATACACACATAAATGAATAACAATAAATTCAAAAGAAAATATATAGAAAGCATTAGCCACACACAGGCAAATACCTATAACTAACGGCGAAGTGAATAGACATAACCAGGAAACCGGCGACAGCACCGGAGAGGTCGAGAGATTTTCTCCTGTAAGCTCTGGCGGCGATTAATGTCGAAATTACGACGGCGACAATCGGCTGAACCGGAAGTTGTTCCATTTTTAGGCACGATTGTTACCGCCGGCGACAGAGAGGATAACTCCCGGCAGTGGGCAAAACAAATTGCAGGTATGGGTGTCCAGAGGAGCGAGTGGAGTTAGTTTTTATGTTAGTTGATGGAGAAGTAGCATGCCATTTTTGACTCCATATTATATTGATTTAAAAAAGATACCCGTAAATAATTAGGTATTTAGGTTTCCCCGTTTAGGGAAAAAAAAAAATTATGGAAAATGATAAATATATTCCTAGCTGTATCTAATTTTTATTCAGGGTTGTAAAAATCCGGCCTAGGCACCGAGTAATCGGCCGACTCGACCTTGTTAATTTTTTCTATTTATATGACATATACATATAATATGACATATATACATTCGTAGATTAGTTTGATACTTTCAATCTTTGGATGATTGAAGTATTTGGGTATTTCATTTGAGTTTTTTTTTTTTTTTAATATTCTTTTGATGTTATGACTTATGAATTGTCGTTATGACTTATGAATTGTCATTATGTCATTTATTTGGATGTGTTATTTGATTGAATGTTGAAAACAGCCTCATTAAAATTGTCAAATTGCAAGTCTGCTACTGTTTTTTTCGCAACCGCCTAGCGCCGCCTAGATTCCACCTAGGTGCCGACTAGGCGGCTCAGGCGCTAGGCGCTGCCCGGGCGCCCGACTAGCGCCCAGCGCCTACTGCAACCATGATTTTATTATTGGTAAAATATAGAAGAAATAAATAAAAACTATGATGTCAAGCAAGTTATACTCAGTTGGCACTTTGTAACTTTCTTGAGGAGAAGATCATAGTATAGAATTTCAGTGGTGGTGGAGTATTGACTTTTTGGACTGCAACAAATAGAAAAGATATAGAACAGATGCTATCTTGTAATAGAGTCAAAAGTACTTTAAAAAAAAAACGTTTTAAAAAAATAGGAATAAGGGTCAAATAAGCCACCCAACTGCACACCAAAGTGCAATTAGGTCATTGAACTCAAAAAAAATGCAATTGAGCCACTGAACAACACAAAAAAATACAATTTAGCCCAAAATGACTTGTTTACCTGGTGTAGCAAGTTACCGATTTTAAAATTAATTTTTTAAAATAATTTTTAATAAATAAATAATTAAAATATTTATAAAAAAAAAAACAAAAAAAAAAAAAACAGAAACTGGCCGCCATTTTAATTATTTATTTATTAAAAATTATTTTAAAAATTAATTTTAAAATTGGTATTTGGTACTTTAGGTAAACAAGTCATTTTGGGCTAAATTGCATGTTTTCGTGTTGTTCAATGGCTTAATTGCATTCTTTTTTAGTTCAATGGCCTAATTTCACTTTGGTGTGCAGTTGAGTGGCCTATTTGACCCTTATTTCAAAAGAATATAAGCATGTATATGCGACATCTATCTACTATACTAATAAGAGCCCAAGAGAGTTAGGCCTATAATGCATAGAAAAAATGGCGGTCAAATTTTTTAATCAAATGAATAGCTCAGATTGATCAGATTTTAATTTTTCCTTGAGATTTCCTAATTTATCCTTAATGAATATGATTATCCGTTAACTTTTCCGTTAAATATTATTTTTTCCGTTAATTTCTGTTAGTCACCGTTAACTTACTCATTGATTTCAATAAGAAAGGTCTTAGGTTCGAACCACATCCCAATCAAAGTTGGCGTAATTAGTACTCTATTTTACTCTTATTAAATTAAATTAAATAATAATTTAGTAGCTACAACAAAAAATAATACATATGCATTTCTTTAATTTAGAATTATGTGTCTACAATGTCATTATTCAAAAAAAATTATTCATTATCAATAAATTAAATAAGAGAAATAATTTCATTAGTTATATTGTCTTTATTTTTCTCCAATATAAAAACTTTTTACATTCAAAATTCAAATTCATCAATTGATTATATTCCCTACATTGTCCCTACAATGTCTTTATTAAAAAAAATTATTTATCAATAAATTAATTAAGAGAAAAAATTTCATTAGTTATATTGTCTTTATTTTTCTCTAATGTAAAAATTCTTTACATTCAAATTCATCAATTGATTATATTCACTACATTGTCTATTATCTTTTTTGTGCACTATTTTTTAATTAAATATCAAAGTTATAATACAAAATAATGCTATATATTTATTTACCAAGTATTTTATTAATATCATGAAAAAATTTAAAAAATTTAAATTAATAAAGCGAATTATATTAACTACTTGAGGGATTTGTTGACAAAGAGAGTATTCAAATCACACAACAAATTGAAGTAAGAAAATACCTCGCAATGTCCTTGTTTGACAATCAGTAGTTAGCAGTTAGCGTTAGCGGATTTGACTAGCGAATTATATCAACAGTTAGTAAAAAGATATTTGAAAAAAAATAGCTGTTTAAATTAACATTTAAAATGACCTAAGGGTATAATAATAATAATAATAATAATAATAATAATAATAATAATAATAATAATAATAATAATAATAATAATAATAATAATAATAATAATAATAATTACTTTAATAATATTTTTTTTAAAAAATATAGATGTGTTTTGGAGAAATCATTCTCAAAAACGTTAAGTGAAAATATTGTGAATTGCAATGTTTGTATTTTAAGTGGTTTGGAACAAATTGTTGCTTCAAACTGTTGAATAACCAAAACACTTTATTTAGCATTTTGATCTTTGGGTTACATCATATTTACCAATCATCCAATATCTTTGGGTTACATAATAATTAAAAATTTTAAATTTTTACTACATCAAAATTCCTTAAATTAGGAATTTCTTTATCCATAATAATTTATTCAACAATAATGGTTGAACTAAATGAACCATTACATATTTAAATAAACAAATTAGACATTAAATTACTTTTGTTGAACTTCTCATATATAATCTTGCATTTATATAATTTCAAGTATTTATTTAATTATAAACATTGGGTAGAAAAAATGACCGTCAACAAATGAATAGTTTAGATTGTTCAGATTTTAATTTTTCCTTGAGATTTTCTAATTTATCCTTAATTATATGATTATCCGGTCCATTAATTTTTCCATTAAGTACCGTTAATTCACCGTTAGTCTAATTCTAATATTAAAGTCTAATATAAAATTTTAACTACAACATTAATCTAATTCTAATATTAAAGTCTTAATAGAATTCTAACCACCGGAATCTTCTCAAACAATATTAGTATATATTTAATATTTTATGCTTTAATTTTTATTTGTTCTCCCTTATGTCCCGTATTTGGTTTCAACCATACCCATACAATTATTTTATTGACAATTATAATCAATCTTGACTATATTATCTTGCATTTGTAAATTTAGGATTAACTATTTAAATACGCTAATTCAACATTCAATTATCTATGCATGCATGAACAATTCTAATATAATCTTGCCTTGATATACTTTAAAATACTTATTTTAAAAAAAACATTGGGCATATTTTCCAATCGCTCAATGTGCGTAAAAAACTAAGTAAGAACTATAAGTACTATAATTTTATTTTATATCATAACTTGTGAATTATTATTAGTTATTTTTATTGGGATAAGGGTCAAATAGACCCTTCAACTATAGGTCAAAGTGCAATTAGTCCCTTAAACTAATAAAAGCTTCAATTAGACCTTCATTTTTCACTTTTATGCAATTAAGTTAGTTAACAGGTTACATTTAAGTCACAGGAAAAAAAATTAGAATTTTAAAAATTAATTAAAATAAAAAATATATATATTTTTAATTCAAATAAATTAATAAAATTTTTAAAAAACAAAACAAAACAAAAACAAAAACAAAAACGTTCGGCGTAGCCCTGAAACTTGAAAACTTGCTAACTTCACAACCGTGATGGTAATGCAAGCTTCTTCTCATCACCTTCGGCGGCGCCCTTCCGCGTCTACTTTTACACGCCTTCGGCAACGCAGTCGGTTGACTTTTTCGGTTATAGACTGATGAAGATGATAGCTTGTGCGAGGAAGATCCGCGGCTGGGCGTTCCACCTTGACGCATGTAGTGGCCGCGCGGAGTCAATGAGCAACCGAGCTGGGCGGTCTGCGAAGTGGTTCAGGGCTCCAACTCTGATTGGTTGCCGATTGAAGAAGACGAGATGGGGAAGAAGACCCTGCAGGTACTTCTTCAAGTGTTCATCGCCGACGTGCTTCTCCGCAGGGTTTCCTTCCAAATTTATGGCTTGCAGATGGCAATTTGTTAAAAGTTGGCGTAGACATTTTGTTGCAGAAATCTTGTTGAACCTAAGATTCATCGTTTAGTTTTAGGAGGCGGAGAAGCCAGCCATTTTTATTTTTTGTATTTATCTTTTAACAAAATCAATTTGACCTGCTATTATCTTATGTTTACTTGCAAATTGAGCTAATAGCACAAATTTAAAAAGTTGTGATTGTATACAAGTGAAGAAATTAAGGGCATAATTGAAGCTTTTGTTAGTTTATGAAACTAATTGCACTTTGAATTATAGTTGAAGTGCTTATTCGACCCTTATCCTTTTTTATTAAAATATGTAATATATAATTTAGGTCTTCCATCATTAACATATAACTTAAACCAACTTAAGTTTATTACCGAAAATGATTTAAAATAGTTATTATGTGTATTCAATATGGAGAAAATATAAAAATATTTTTAAAAATTAACTAACAAATATTTTTTTGTTTTTAATTAAATGTAAGTTAGAAAATAATTGTTGCTAAGCATTTTTTTAACAAAATTCAATTAAAAATGAAAAGCAGTAATAAGCCAGAGTTGATTGGATATCCAATAGGCAGAAAATTGTATTTTGCAATACAATTGAAAGCATTACGTTAAGAAACAAGACTTTTCTAAGTGCCACCACATGTTTTGCTGCTCCTTATTTTGTTCTCTATAAATTAATTACTGACAGGAATATAATGTAGGATTTTCCACAAATTACAATGCTCTTATTGGCCATATGATGACACATTTGACTGGTCTGAACTCTTCAAAGTTCAAACGCACGTTTATAGAAATACGAATAAGGTTGAAATTAGTCACTGAGCGTAACATGAAAATGTAATTAGACTACTGAACGGAAAAAAAATACAATTAAGTC